AGCATCCAAAAAATATTTTAGTTCACGATAATAAAATGATGATCGCTGATTTCGGTTTATCTAAAGAAATAACTACTGATGTACTAGATTCTAACTCAACTATTGATGGAATGCCTGCGTTTATTGATCCTCAGTGCTTTAGAGTTAGTTCATACAAACGCACAGACAAATCTGATATTTACAGTTATGGTGTTATTCTTTGGGAAATTTCAAGTGGTCATAAGCCTTTTCAAACATTAAAGAGAATACAAATCGCTATTCAAATATATAACAATTCAAGAGAAAAACCAGTAAAAGGGACGCCAGAAGAATATATTAAACTTTATACACAATGTTGGGATGAAGATCCAGAAAAACGTCCAACAATAGAAAAAGTCTATGATTCCTTAAATCTACTCATGTACAAACCGATGAATTCTCAAGAGGATATGAAAAAACCCTTAAGAAGATTGCTTGAAAAAGCTTTTTTGGATCAAACAATAAATATCCATGCCTATGAAACATTTAGCGACCATACAAAGCTTGAAGAGGCAAAATTTGGTCCGATATATAAATCCAAATGGAAAAATGGTAACTTAACTGTTATTCTCAAATGTCTTAAAGTAGACGATAAATATTTAGATGAAGCAAATGCTAAAGATTTTGTTGAAAAGGTATAAGTATTATTATTATTATTATTGGCATTTTATATGGCTTTCTAACATTTCCCTGACATTAAATTCCCAACAATCATTTCTTCGAAAAATTCACAGACAAACATTTCTCTAACAGCAGACACTTTCATTTCTTCGTCACTTCATCATTATAAAAACAATTTACGGAAAATGAAAGTGTCGAAGAAAGGAAATTGTCTGTCGGAGAAATTTTTTCGAGAAAATAATGTCGGGGAAATATAAGGAATCATTTTATATTTATTTCATTTTGAATATTAACAGAAAGTAAAATTTATTTTTAAAGCTTCAACTTTTACAAAATATGGAATTTCATCCAAATATCGTTAAGTTCTACGGGTTAACTGAAGGTATTTTTCCTTAGTTTATAAATTGTTATAGCTAATAATAAAATTTTTATTTACATTATTTTAATGAGCAGACCCTTCTACTGGATATTTTAGTACTGTTTTTCATTTTGCAGGAGGAGGGAATTTACGTGATTATTTGGCAAATAATTTTTCTGAATTACAATGGAGTAAAAAACTACGCATGGCTACAGAAGTAGCAGAAGGGCTCAAATTTTTACACAAAAACAATATTGCCCATCGTGACCTAGTAAGAATAACTATTATCAATATATTTGTAAATTTGCTATTTTGTATTTGCTTAAAATTCGCTATTTTTTCAATATGTCAAATTTATAGCATTCTAAAAATATTCTGATTTGCGAAGATAAAATGTTAATTGGAGGTTTTGGTATATCAGAAATGGATGAAACATCTCTTTCAGTCTCAGTTCATCGGGGAATGCCAGCATATATTGAGCCTCAATGTCTTATGGATCCCACGTATCAACGTAATACGAAATCAGACATATATAGTTTAGGTGTTATTCTTTGGGAGATCTCCAGTGGCCAACCACCATTCAGGACATTTGAGTTTGGATATGCAATTGCAATTCAAGTGTTTAATGGAAAGAGAGAAGATCCTGTTAAAGACACTCCACTTCAATATGAACAACTTTATAAACAATGTTGGGATGATGATCCTACAGAACGCCCAGATATAGTTTCGGTCCTAAATCAACTTTCTACAGTTACAATTTAAAAATTCTAATTTTCGTGATACACTTATATTTTGGATTATAACTTATATAAATCTCAAGTTTAAAACCTTTGATTATTTATTTCACATATATTTTTATTCCTTTATTGTGGCTATATTATGTTAATCCTTATTCAGACATAGTTTAGAACCCATTATTGTAAGGCTTTATTATAAAGTACAATTATAGGCGCAATAATAGTATATGCTGTGACTTCATACGTTATAGCATTATAGGACACTCACAATGATTTGATAAAAAATTTGATTGGCTAGTATGATAGACAGAACAGACAAATTGATTTATATAGAGTATATTGAGGAGAACGATTTTTCATAAATGCACCATCTTGGGAGTATAGGCAAAATGGTCAAAAATATATATATTTAAAGTATTTAAAAGGAATATTGTTAAAAGCACCATAACTTAGGATTTGAAACCTAATCTATTTAGAGGTTTATTTAATGTATGTATTTGTAAAACGCATTATGAGGTTTTCCATATATACATTTCATTGTATCTTCTGTGTATTATTTATTTTATGTCAAAATTTAAATTTTTATTCATATAAAACTCATAGAAAGAAAACTTTGACAAAGCCTAAAGATAAATCTAATTGCATAAATCTTTTATTTTGTAGCAAATGTTAGAAAGAAATGGTATTCTAACATACTAAAGGATTTGCTCAGCACGTATTTTGTTTCATTATTCAGGGCATCTATCTTACTGATTGGACAGATAACGCCTTTGCGTTTTAACTGGAGTTGATATCGGTTTAATTTTTCATATGTTAGATCCGTAATAAAAAATCTGTTCCAAACTCCAATTTTAAAATTTTCAGATATAATCTATATTTTGCAACTTAATCATGCGGGCGAACTGAATTAATTGTCCGGAGTGAAGCGGAGAACTTTAATGGAATAATAGACCAGGATTTGTGTGTAAATATTTCCAGTAACTGGGGATGGGACCGTCAAATATTTGGGCATCAAAGTTGTGCCTCAGATTAACGCATACCTCAGATATGTTTTGGCTAGGATTAACTGATTGACATTGATTGGCCTAAATTAAACCCTAGCTCTTACCCTGATAGACATCCGAGGCAAAAATTTTGATGTTCTAAATATTGTCAAATCAAACAAACACGGATCTGCCCGTAATAGATGTGCCACAGAAGTGGAGTGATATTTAAGTTCCGGACTCAATATTACGCATTAACCTAGCTAATTACAGTATATTGCGGAGAAGTCGCAACTTTGTTGTATGGTATAATTAACTATTTTTACATATATGCGTTGAGTCAATCCGGGTATATTTTTTATATCCGGATTAATCCGGTTTACATCATGTCACATTATATCACATGACATAGTATATATAGAGGTATTAACTCTATATGTGCGTACGATGTTATAAATCTAAAAATTTCACTATTTATAAAACGATTCATTAGATATTAGCAGCTTATTTAAGCACTATTAAGTTCTGATATAGCTTAATGTTTTCTTGGCGTATTATTTATTTATACAGTACGTACGTATGTAGTTCAGATAATGATGTCATTAAAATCACGGGATTAGACGCTTTTCCGATTTTAAGAGAATTTTACAAATTTCAATGAGTATACAGTAGAGGTAATAACTGATCGATAGACAATCTAGAATTTCCGAAATTTCCATCAATCATCACAAAATTATGGGGTCACATCTTTGCAAGGAGCTATAATTTCACTAGCAGAATTTCCGCATCTTCGATTCCCTATGGGTATATGAAATTCGTTTTCCAAATAAGAAATCTATATAGAAAGAATTAGTTTCGGACTCTCGTACTACATACAAATGTACGCCACGCAATTTGTCATATGTATAACAAACTTTAAAGTTGTGCAATTTTGGTAAGTTGAATGACATCAATCAGTATTACCATTCGTCTTTTTATGTCGATCATAATAATATTAGGATGTAACCCAAAAAAATTTGGAATTATATTACGTACTGTACTACTTATTGACGCGACTCTATGATTTATAATCTTGAAGGTAATAAATACATGTGCACTTTTCAATTATAGAATTAATATAAATTTTATGCATAAATTAAGAGAATATAGATTTTTATATTTAGTTGTCACATGAGATGCGTTAACAGTGACAAAGCTTTATTATTTTAGCAATAAATAATTTTCTTTTGTTGGAACACCCTTCATCCAAGAAATTATTGTTGCTAATATTTAGCATAAAACTAATTTTATATATAATAATGCTTACTTCTTATTTTGATGGTACGTTGACACTTGGTGTGAAACAAATTTTAATTCATAACGTGACAAACTTGTATCTCCAAGTCAAGATCACATAATTAAATGGAGCTTTTTTAGTCACATTAATATAAAGTTTTAAGGGTATAAGTTACCCAATATTTTTTTATAATTAGGTTATGTGAAATGTTTGGGTTCAAATAAAATTTAATAATTCTATTCAATCAATCATATTTTTCGTTGATTAATAAAGGTTCTAAGATTCGATTGAAAGTTCCACAAGCTGGAAAGTTGAATCTTTAATTTTACAATTATCAATATAAAAACCTTTATGAAAAGTTTAACATTCGTAAATATTCAGAATTTTATTTCATTTTTTCTTATAATCTATTACTGTAGAGTAATAAGTTTAATAGGTAGTTAAATTGAAAATTGACCCGAGCCATTCTTCAGTTAAAGGACGAATAGACAAGATCTGCAAAACATTATTATACATTTTAGGTGCAACTTTTAAATCATTGCATTTAAATATACTAATTAACATATATGCATATTGTTGTATTTCGTAGCGTGTTTTAAATAATCATTAGATTTATCAGAATTGTTATCGTGTCGCGCATTTCATTTTCGTAAATGCATACATTTGGCACTTAAGGTGTAGATGTATTATATTATATTTATTATTTCTTAGATATAATATGCCGTATGTGATTAGGTGGTAGAATATAGATACAGAATGTTAGCTAATGATCATAATCCTAATCGTTAATTCTCTTCACTATCTGTTAGATATTTACTCTTACATACACACACATTTATTAATTAGACGAATTATTTATTCATTATAGTTACATAAAACTTAAGATAGGAAGATGTATCTTTATTACTGATAAATAACAAAAAAATTCAATGAACAAGAAAACTGGGCACATAATAATAAAAATTTTTCATTCTAATCAATTAAACCGTTTAATATTTGTACACTCAATGGGATTCAAAGTTTTGAAATGGAACTATTTTAAACTAGAGCCTTCCCAAATAGGTAAATATTTGTTCACAAATTATTTATAGCTTACTGATTAAGTAACTGGTGTACGTACGTATCGGAATTCGCATGAATATAAATTCGCTTTCCGTATTTCATATGCTGAATGATGGCCGAAAACCTTCCAAATGTATTGCTTGAAAATGCTATTAAAAATGGAGAAATTAATTGTTATGACTATTGTGAGTTCAGTAGTGAAGAGAAAATTGCTAATGGTGCATATGGTTCTGTAAGTAAATCCGAATGGAAAAATGGAGGATTGACAGTTGCTCTTAAAAGTCTAATAGTTTATACGGGAGGAAAAGAATTTATCAAAGAGGTACGATTGATAACTAATTAATTATAGAGAATTTAACATTACTTTAAATAAACCTTATATATTAATTTATAACGTTACATATTTACAAAGCTTAAACTCTTACAATCAGTAAGCTTTCATGCTAATATAAACCATTTATATGGTGTAACTAAAGGTTTTAATTTTTATAATATAATTAAGGAATATTTCTATTTTTATGTATTGCAATAACCATTACATTTACTATAGATTTGAATGGAATTTATAAATTTGTTCTTCATTTCGCTAATAATGGAAACTTACGTGATTATTTGAACAAAAAATTTTCAATATTACAATGGGGAGATAAATTTCGAATTGCAAAAGAAATAGCTCAAGGCCTCTCGTACTTACATAGTAAAGGGATAATTCATAGAGACCTTGTAAGTGTGCCCTTGATTTTAAAAAAGTTAAATTTCCATTTAATTTATTATATATTTTATAGAACCCAAAAAATATCCTAGTTCACGATGATAAGATAATGATCTCGGACTTTGGTTTGGCTAAATTAATAACTTCTGATAAATCAACATCCAGATCGAATAATATCGGAATGCCAGCATTTTCGGATCCTCAAAGTTTTATGGAACATAAATTTACTACAAAATCTGATATTTATAGCTTGGGTGTCGTTCTTTGGGAAATTTCAAGCGGCCGTAAGCCTTTTCAGTTACTGAATGAATTCGCAATTGTTATTCTTGTAAATTCTGGAGAAAGAGAAAAACCTATAGAGGGTACTCCACCTGAATATATTGAACTTTACACACGATGTTGGGATAAAGATCCAGAAAAACGTCCGCCAATAAAGGAAGTTTATGAATCTTTAGAACAATTTATGTATGACTCGTATGGGAAACCTTTAGGAAAATTGTTTGAACAAGTTATTTCAAGGAAAATTGTTGATTTCTATAAATACAATGAATTTAGTAATCATGAAAAGATTTCAAAGGAAAAACATGAGTTGGTATATAAGTATAAGGTATATAAGTCTAAATGGAGAGACTCAATTGTTGCTCTTAAATGTTTCACTTCAAACGATAAATATTTAAACAAAAAGGTTGTTGATGAGCTTGATGTAAAGGTATAATTACCTCTTGGTAATTCTATACTCACTTTAATTTAAAGTATTATTCATGAATTAAATTTTAATTTAAAGTATTATTCATGAATTAAATTTTATTTTAAAGCTTAAATTTTTACAAAGAACCAAACATCCAAATATAATTGAATTTTATGGGCTGACTAAAGGTATTTTTCAGCTTAAAATAGGTTTAAATTCATTTTCATCTACATTAATTTCAGTATATTTAATAAGTAGATCCTTCTAGCGGATATTATAGTATGATTTTTCAATTTGCGCATGGAGGAAATTTACGCGATTACTTGACAAAAAAATTTTCTGAATTACAATGGAAAGAAAAATTACACATGGCTATAGGAATAGCAGAAGGGATCAAACATCTACACAAAGATGGCATCACTCATTGTGCACTGGTAAGAACAGTTAATTATAGTCATATTTATTACCGTGCATTTACTTTACAATTCATCAATAATCAGCAATAATCTACTTATAGCATTCTAATAATATCCTGGTTTGTCAAGGAAGAATGTTAATTGCAGGTTTTGGTATATTTGAATTAACGGATGAGTCACTTTCAATCTCAACTGTTCAAGGAAAGTCAGCATATATCGAACCTGAATGTCTTACTAATCCCACATATCAACGTGATATGAAATCAGACATATTTAGTCTAAGTATTATTCTTTGGGAGATTTCTAGTGGACGACCACCATTCGAATCTCTCGAAAATAGATATAAAATTGCTATTCATGTGTCTACCGGAAGAAGAGAAACACCTGCTGAAAACACACCACCTCAGTATGAGCAACTTTACAAACGATGCTGGGATGAAGATTCTAAAAAACGGCCAGATATAATATCAGTTCTTGAAAGTTTAAATCAACTTTTGTCAGAACATCAAGTTTAATCTTATATTTTACTGAAATTTTTAGAATTAAATTATAGTATAATTTTTGTTCTTATTACTATACATTATAAGCTTATATAAATTTTTTTTCGCAATAAGAAATAGATCATCTGATTTTAGCACATGACTATTGCGGGTTTGACTGTAGATCTTTAAGAGTTTAAACGATATTTATTTATTCAACCTTCTTTTGTTGTGATTGTTTCTACCGTTCAGCACTGCATAAAGTATCCTAACAAATGGTATCCCATGATTAAAACCTAGAATTAGTGTTCCAATCCTATCTTTGACAGGCCATCCGGATTCTATTAAATCCGGATTGAATCCGTGTCAGATTAGATATAAAGCTAACTTTGAGCACATCTTTATGTCCATTATTTAAGTTCTTTGACCAATCCGAGTAAAATTCTCTGATCTGGATATCTAAATTTATCTGGATTTAAGGATCAATCTAGATAATCGGATTAAGGATCGGAACACTACTAGGTATTATTCATCATCCTACCGACCTGTTTTCTTAATTAAGACCTGGGTATAAATTATTGATTTATTATTTTTCATATGAATATCATTCAAATATAGTATCTGGCTCTATACAAAGTACCCGAGTCTAATCAAGTTTAAAATCGAAGGTATTGAAAATATCATATATAGTGCCAAACGGGGTATTTAGTCATTTTCACTCTTTCTATTGATTAATTTAGAACAAATTATCCAAAACACTAAAAAACATTAAAGTTAATACTATGATTCCGTTCTAGCATGTCCTTACGGACAGTACTGTACACTTTGACTGGACTGTTCTGAACTTTTTAGTCTTTCCGTTTTAAACAGTTTTTTAGATGTTTTAAAACTTGTTAAACTTTTTAAAACATTGACGCTATGGCTAAAATTTAAAATTTAGTGCTAAAATACAGATTCACCAAATTTCATAGAGATAACTTTTAAAAAAAAAATTTCATTTATAAACTTTGCTTATTATATAATTACAAGAAATGCGCAATTTGCTTAACTATTTATATAATTTCTTTTCTTTTTTTTTTTTTTGTACGCTTCTTTTAATATGCATAACTATAAATTTAATTATCGTCATCTTCGAACCAACCATCAATCTCAATTCCTTTTTAAATTCTTAAATTCTGATAGACTGCAACAAGTTTTTTTACCCGTTCATTATTTAATAAATTTTTCATACTTTTTGGAAGCTTTTTGCATCCATATAAGTGATCCTTTAATAAAGCGGCTAAATCCACAAAGTCCTCTCCACAGTAGTTACACTTTTGGCGAAGCAAAGTTTCCATAACTTTTGTAAAGTTCAAGCGAATTTCTTTTAATGGAGGCCTTCCACGGAGCATGATTGTTTATAATTCTATATTTTATGACGATAAAGTTGTATCTTCACGAATTAGTTAAAAAATAAATACTATCCCATTGTTACGTATTATGATTACGTCAATCAAACAATCATGTTTTAAAACATTCCGTTTAAAAAATTTTCCATCCCTATTCCCATCCCAGGACGTCCCATATTGTCCCACCAATAATCCAATTTTTAACTTGCAAAATTATACCAAAAAATAATATGCTGTATATGTTTATTTAAGAACTGAAGGCATGTTGTCTTAATAAAATTTTGAGCTATTGACATTCTCTAAAACCTTAAAGTTTATCACAACTTTATTAAAACTCCGACCCAACTTTCTCGTGTACAATACTGCTTGCGTATGTAGGACAGGAATCGAAAATATAATTAAGATCATTGCAACAACTTAAAATGAAATTTTTATATAATGTAAAATAGACAAGCCACTGAATAATATAATTTTTGGATACACTACTTAGCATTTTAAAGCTTTAAAATTTTAGTATTATATTTTAGTAATTAATATTTTGGTTGTTTAGTAATTTAAGTACCGTATTTTCGCGTAATATAAGTATATGCGCGTTATTTCGAGCACTCACGTGAGAGTTATTTTGAAGCAATTAAAAATTTTTAGATAATCCTTGTATAAAAAGTAAACAAACAAAGATGCTTCGGAACTAGATTTAGTACTAAGTAAACCTTTCTTTGAGCTTTAACAAAAGTTGTTCTGAAGAACAACTTTTGTTGAAGTTCGAAGGATTACTTAGTATTAAATCTAGTTCCAAAGTATTTTAAACCTTATTATAAATAACTATGGGTGCGCACTATTTCGGGACGTGCATGAGCGTTATTTTGAAACTGTATATATTATTTTTAGGGACACGATTTTCGAAATAATGCTCATGAGCGTTATTACGAGTAAATACGGTATATATAATCTTTATAAAAAAAATATTTTGAATAAATTTTAATTTGTATTTTAGGAATTAAGTATTAGTGTTTAATAATTTTAAAAATAATATTTATATATTGTATATAAAGGTCATTAAAGATTATATTGAAAAAACATCGAAATAGAAGTTACGCCAATTATTTCAAAAACTTAAACTAAGATATCTCAATAGTTATACAGTAAAACCTCCATAAGTGCACCCTCTATGTGCACACCCTCTCTAAATGCACGCTCAAGCTCTGGCCCAAATATATATACTCTCTATAAATACACTTTCTCTTATTAATCTCTAAGTGCACGTTGTTAAAGCTTGGTCCCAAGGGCATGTACTTATAGAGGTTTTACTGTATATATAAACATGATATAATCTTTTTTTATAAATTCACAGAATTTAAATAAATTTGTTTTTATAAATTTTATAGGTTCATAGAATTTAAATAAATTTTTTATAAGTACATAAAATTTTTTTTCTTAAAACTTTAAAAATAATTTGGTGTAGTTCCATTTTAATGTTTTGAGCAAAGTTATTCTGACAAATAATTGATTAAATTTTAAAAAAGATTTGTTTGAATTTTCTAAACTTATAGAATTCAAATAAAATATTTTTATTAAATTTGATAAATTTGAACAAATAGTTATCGGAATATTTTTATTTAAAATTTTAAAAAAATTTGGTGCAGCTCTGATTTTAATAGGTTTGAGTACTTTTTAAAAATTATTAAAATATTAGGGTGCGCTAAAATATTAAACCAGCTATACGTATACAGTCTGACCTCCTATCTAAGTGCACATTTTATTTTTTCTTTACTATGGTCTCGAGGGCGTGCGCTTAGTGAACTAGAATACTAAAATAATAGAAACTAAAACATTAGAACATTAAAACATTAAAACACGAAAACATTAGGACACGAAAACACTAGAATACTGGAGCATGAATTGAATTAATAATATATTAGAAAATTTTTCTTTTATGGGGAAGGACATTAAAACTGGGTACAGAAACCAAACTTACATTTATGATTTGTTTAGAGTTACTTTTTGATACATTATATGTGATGGTACTGTATTGTAAAATCATTTTGAAGAATCAGATCTTAAGGTTTGCACAATTGCGATAAGTGAAACTATAGTATCTTTATTCTCGATAAAATTAACCAAAAGGTTTCATTTGACAAGGAAGTCACCGTATTTCATTCGTAAAGTACCCCATGCACTGGTTAAAAAACCATATAATAACCAGTAATATAGTACAAATTATAACTTATTTCCTATAATATATTTATATATATATAGTTAATACATATGTTTAAATACATATATTACCTAGTGAATATATAGTAAATAAGCTATAATTTAAACTATATATTTAAAATATGATTATTATTATTATTATTATTACCGAGAATTTTGCTACAAGTATTCAGATTTAAGCTATTTTAAGCTTCAAAATGCCCGAATTTGTACAAGGTCCGGTACTTTGGCGAACGGGATACAGTAATATAAGAGATAATTTTTTATACTGTGTGTCCAATATTTATATGTACGCACGTACGTACATCCAATAACTTCAAAGTAAACTAGGATCTTCCCAGATCAGTAAATATTTGTACACAAATAATCAACAGCTTACTGATTAGGTTCATAACTCGTACGAATCGGAGTTAAAAATCAGATATAAATTTCGCCTATTCGTATTTCGTGTGTTAAATAATGGCTGAAAAAACTTCTAAATGAAAAAAAAACACATAAAAAAAAACCACAAAATGAAGAAAAACCGCAAAATGAAAAAAAAATCACGAAATGAAAATAAACTACAAAATGAAGAAAAATCAAATGACTGGCTTGAAGATGCTATTAAAGCTGGAGGAATTAATTACTATAATTATAATGAATTCGGTGATGAGGAGAAAATCGGTAAAGGTGCATTTGGTACTGTAAGTAAATCCGAATGGAAAATTGGAGGAGTGGTCGTTGCTCTTAAATGTCTAAGCAATTATACGGAAGGAAAAACTCCAGAAGTATTTATCAAAGAGGTATGATTTTTATCTAATTAATTATATTCTTAGCAATATATATATTAATTCTACGCATTTATAAAGGTTAAATTCTTGCAAAGCTTAAGCTTTCATCCTAGAGTAAACCATTTCTATGGCGTAACTAAAGGTTCTAATTTGCATAATATTTAAGAAACATATTATTCTTGCTATTATAATAACCATTGCATTTACTGCAGATTCGAAAGGAATTTATAAAATGGTTCTTCAATTCGCCAATGGTGGAAACTTGCGTGAATATTTGACTAAAAATTTTTCATCATTACAATGGGAAGATAAATTTCGAATTGCAAAGGAAATAGCCCAAGCTCTCATTTTCTTACATAGCAAAAATATAATTCATAGAGATCTTGTAAGTGTTTCTTATAGCTTTAAATACATTAAACTTGTACTTAATTTGTGATACATTTTATAGAATCCAAAAAATATTTTAGTTCATGATGATAAGATAATGATCTCGGACTTTGGTTTAGCTAAATCAATGACTTATGTGACTTCTGAAGCATCAGTTTCAACTTCGATTGATTTTGGAATGCCAGCATTTATGGATGCTGAATGCTATACAAAAAATAGTAAATACATTTATACTACCAAAACTGATATTTATAGCTTTGGTGTTGTTCTTTGGGAAATTTCAAGCGGTCATAAGCCTTTTCCGTCACTTAAAAGAATACAAATTGCCATTAAAATATATAATGGCGAAAGAGAAGAACCTATAGAAGGTACACCACCTGAATATGTTGAACTGTATAAACGATGTTGGGATGGTGATCCAAATAAACGCCCGTCAATAGAAGAAGTTCACAAATCTTTAGACAAATTAATGCATAATAAACCAACAGATTCTCATGAAAATATGGGAAAATCTTTAGGAGAAATGTTTGAACAAGTTATTTCAAGGGGGATTGTTCATTCCCATGAATATGGGCAATTCGGTAATCATATTAAGATTTCAGATGAAGGGTATGGGTTGATATATAAGTCTGAATGGAGAAACTCAATTGTTGCTCTTAAATGTTTCACTATAAACGAGAAAACATTAGACAAAACGGTTGTTGAAAACTTTGTTGGAAAGGTATAATTACTTTTCTATATTTACTTTAATTTAAAATATTATTTACGAATTAAATTTTATTGACAGCTTAAAATTTTACAAGAAGCCAATCATCCAAATATAATTAAATTTCACGGACTAACAAGAGGTATTTTTCGAATTAAATAATTCTAAATCATTCACATATGTATTAATTTTTATCAGTGTATTTAATAAATAGACCCTTCTAGCGAATATTACAATATGATTTTTCAATTTGCGGAGGATGGGAATTTGCGCAATTACTTGGCAAAAAAGTTTTCTAAATTAAAATGGAATGAAAAATTACGCATGGCTAT